ACCAGGAGACGTGTGTCCCAGCAGGGACCAGGAGACGTGTGTCCCAGCAGAGACCAGGGGACATATGTCCCAGCAGGGACCAGGAGACGTGTGTCCCAGCAGAGACCAGGAGACGTGTGTCCCTGCAGGGACCAGGGGACATGTGTCCCAGCAGGGACCAGGAGACATGTGTCCCAGCAGGGACCAGGGGACATGTGTCCCAGCAGAGACCAGGAAACATGTGTCCCAGCAGGGACCAGTAGACATGTGTCCCAGCAGGGACCAGGGGACATGTGTCCCAGCAGGGACCAGGGGACATGTGTCCCAGCAGAGACCAGGAGACATGTGTCCCAGCAGGGACCAGGAGACGTGTCCCAGCAGGGTCCAGGGGACATGTGTCCCAGCAGGTCCTTCCTCAGGTTGAGTTGTTTTAATCTCAGTTAAACACTGAAGAAGAAAAACACGGTCACAGCTTTCAGCAGACTTTTCCTGAAAAAGGCTGAAACAGGAGTTTTCTGCAGAAAAGGATTAGGGCCACTGAAAAATAAAAAAAAGGAATTCTGACTTTAATCTCAGAATTCCTTTTTTTATTTTTCAGTGGCCCTAAACCTCATCTGGTTTGATACATTCCAGGCTGAAGTGTTTGGTGTTTTTATTCACACCATCTTTTATTTGGTTTTAAATGATTTGATTCCTTCTATAAAATCCGATTCTCTGTGATTTCATGTGATCTGTCAGCACTCAGAGCATGACTCTCAGCTACTGCCACACCAAACTCCACAAAAACAGGTTTCCAAACTTGTATTTATATTTATATTTATTTGCCCACTGATTACTGTCTGATAGTTTGAATCATGTCAGGTGTGTGTTCAGTCCAGTATGGTGTTTTAAGAACTGAACTCTGAGCAGAAAGGATTCAGCTTCAGCCACAAACACATCTGAGCTGAGAAATAAACATCTCATTGTTTAAGATGGAGCTGCTCTTAGCAGCGAGGCTGACTCCAAACATCATAGGCTCATGAACTATTTTGCTAACAGACAAACAAGCCAACATTTTACATTTACAGGATGTGCTTCACATCTAACTGCTACATTTCCTGATGGTTTTGACACAAATGACTCCTGTTAGCAGGAGAGTGAAGCAAAGCTCCCAGCATGCCTTTAGAAGGCGTCTCTTTGATGCACATCAAGGTGCTGATGACACCTAATGATCCTTGATCTGCAGCAGACTCCAGCAGAGGCCCGCCCCGTCTGTTAGGACCTCTTCCTCTGGCCCATTGATCCTATCAGGACTCATCAAAGACTCCCTGGGCTTTGATGGGGCCAGCAGGACTGGAGCAGCAGGCTCTGCCACTCCCTTCATCTGCTGGGGTGCGACATCTCGGAGCTAGATTTGAGTTTCTGGGAGCTGAAGGCCGTGAGGAGACGCAGCACAGCTGAGGATCAGCTGAAGATATCAGTTATCAGCTGAGGTTTGCTGCAGAAGTGGGTACTGATCATTTTTAGCCCTGCAGCAAAAAAAAAAAAAAAAAAAAAAAAAAACCCTACTGAAGTTTAGCTCTTTGTAAAATCGAAGTGATCCATTCAAGAACTTAACTGGATCATGAACCTATATGAACAGATTATACTGAAGTTTGCAGAAAATCTTCATTAAATGTACTTTTTCAGCTGAATAAGTTTTGCAGTGAGCTCACAAACACAAACCAACATAAAGTCGGTCTAATTACTGTGTTTTGTTTGAGCTGCATGCAGTTTGTGTCAACAACCAGGAAGCTGCTGCTTTTACACAAAACCCCCCAGAAACCCTGTACATATTCCAAACAACAATCAACTCTTACAGGAGCTGATTTATATCATGAAATAAAAGCTTTTAACAAACATAACGTGTAATCTGGAGAATGTGATTATCAACATTGAAACAAGATACCAGATATCTCAGTTAAAGTAAATAAAATGAATAAAAACAGTATTTACACATTTATTTTTACTCCTGTCCCACAACACTCATTTTCAGGTTATCAAAGTCCATTTCAGTCTAAATGTCTATGAAAATAGGTTTTTTATTTATTTATTTTTACCTTTATTGTACCAGGAGAAATATGAGGACTAATTTTGATTTTTATTAAATGAGACATTAATGTGTTCTGCATTATTTAAATATAATAAAATAGCTTTGCTTTCTTAAACCAAATGAAGTTACATGTTGATAAATGTTGAGGATTCTTTGCTGTGATGTGTACATGACCTGCTTAATGACCTCTGGTGGTTTATTTAGCATTAGGTATTCTGTTAAACAGTCAGAGCTGCATGGTAAACACTGAGAAACAAGCCGTCAAAGGGTTCATGTTGATTTCAAGTCACAGTTTGATTGGTTCTCTGAGAAGATCATGTTAGCAGAACCTGTGTGACATAATGAGAGCTCAGAGAGCTGCATCCTGACACCACCGTGAGTTTCCTTTAGTAATATTTGTTTAAAATAACCCACCTTCAGCTGGAACCAGGAAGAGCCTGAAGAGGTTACAGGGTTGAATCATTACGACATCAGTGGAAGTTTCTAGTTTTGCAGTCTCTCTGTTAGATCAGCTGAGAGGGATTGTTGTATTTTTTCCTGACAATATATAGTATATATAGTATTGTGAAGATACCTTGGTAGTGTCCTGATGCATCTCAGTAATCCAGGTAGAAAAAAAAATCAAAAAGAAAAAATAAGTAGGTCGTCTGGATGGGTTCTTCTTTAGTGAAACATTTCATCTCCTCCAAGAGATTTCCTCAAACTGTTCAGACTGAAGAAGTCTCTTGGAGGAGATGAAATGTTTCACTAAAGAAGAACCCATCCAGACGACCTACCTATTTTTTCTTTTTGATATCTTGGTAGGTTGTTGAACATGAAATAGGGTAGGCAAGAATAGGCTTGGCTTCAGCCTATCCCTTTTTTTTTTGGGTAAATTATGAGTTTGTTAATTGTTTCTGTTTTGTTTGTTGTTGTTGCTTTTTAATGTTTAATGTGAAAGATTTACCAAAAATAAAGTTATTGATTGATTGATTGTTTGTAGGTCTTACACTGAGGCCTGTGCTGACCGCTGTGCTGTTCTGTATGAACCTGACTGGAGTCAGAGACCAGAACAAAGTGTTGAGAATAATTCAAATGAGTCCAGTTATTATTCAAACATGCCATTTTTCAATGACACTTTTCTATGGATGGATGGATGGATGGATGGATGGATGGATGGATGAATGGATGGATGAATGGATGGATGGATGGATGGATGAATGGATGAATGGATGGATGGATGGATGGATGGATGGATGGATGGATGGATGGATGGAGGAATGGATGGGTGGGTGGGTGGATGGATGGATGGATGGGTGGATGGATGGATGGGTGGATGGATGGGTGGATGGATGGATAGATGGATGGATGGATGGATGGATGGATGGATGGATGGATGGATGGATGGATGGATGGATGAACATCATGGATTTATTTGTTGTGTTCATGCAGTAAGCTGATATCATTTCTTCCTTTTCTGAACTGACTTCAACCTCTGAAACACCAAACCGCTCCACTCTTCTGCTTCTGGAGTTCATTTGGACCTTCTTTAAAGTGCATGCATTGATTCCTCTAATATCGTCAGTTATTTTCTGTTTTTATTTTTCTCTCTTACAATTGTTGGAAAAAACTTTAGTTAGGGTTAAAGTTACAGGTTGGACTTTTAAACATTTCCAAACGCATCCTTTTCTTCATGTACTTGGACCAAAAGTATTCATGCAACACTAATAAAATATTTATTTCTTCTCTTTGTACCTCCAATAAGACCAAAGTAACCTTTGTTTGTGATATTGATCTGGCTCTGCAACAGTTATGAAAGACAGAAGTGAAGTGGACAGACAGCAGGGGCGTTGGGACCAAAATCTGCAAGGAACTAGGAATTGCAAACAGCAAGTCTAACCGGTACAGACTTTCCTGTTCCTGATCTCATCCTAATATTCCACTAACATTGGTTAATTCTAAGGTTTGGTTATATTTTACATCATTACAGTTTCATTTACACAGGGAATGATGTTTAACTGGTAGGTTCGGTCCAGGTTCTTGTCCTGATGTTAAAACCAACCATACAGAAGATCCAGGAGAGGAGGGGTGAAAACAACTCAGGTAAATACACTGGTGTTCTGCTCCTACACTGATCCCTTTATTTCATTTGAATACAAAAACCACAGTTCCTCTGTATTTGGAAATACTGTATCAGGCTACCCATCTTCCAGCTGCCAGTGAGACAACATGAGTGACCAAAAAATAAGACACAGTCATCGACCCTGGTTGGTCATTTTAAATGTTGTTGCTTAAAATTCACAACGCATAAATAATTTTTGTCTGTAAATAAATAAAAACAAACTGTTCTTCATATTGATTTTAAATAGTTTGTGTGAATAAATGGGATTTTTTACTTTAAGATGACGTAATTCTCAGTAATGCTAAAAACTCGCGTGGATTTGACATAATCTCGCGAGATCTTGAAGCAGCGTGAGCACTGCAGCACATCTCAAACAGCCTGTTAGCTTTAGCATTAGTCCCGACGCTATCACCATATACAGCGGGTAAAATAAGTATCGAACACG